GTAAAATGTTAGTTTTTGCATGAACAGCAAAAGGTAAAGCTATCTTATTTAATCATTGAAGTACAACACATTAGTAAAAGGGGACTATAGACCTATGTATTGTTAGTGAAACATGGAAAAATATTAAGCCTATGTAATCCATCAGATCTTTGCTCATAGGTTCAAATTAGTTTAATTTGACAAAGAAGATCGTTGATATGGAATCTGTGGAATGAAGTGGGATGAATATCGTGTGTGTGTGTGTGTGTGTGTGTGTGTGTGTATGTGTGTGTGTGACTGGGTCTTTCATTGACCTGGAGCTCAGCAAGTAAGCCAGGCTGACTGGCTAGCTAGGCAAAAGGATTTGCTTCTTTCGGCCTCCGCAGTGCTGGGATCACAAGTGCAGACTTGAATTTTCACATAGGTTCTAAGAATTGAACTCAGGTCCTCATGCTTGCAAGACAAGCACTTTACCAACTGAGCTATCTTCCCTGCCCAAGGTGAACATTTGTGATGACAATGGTATTGTTATAATTGTTCTAAGCCTCATGTTGTGTTTATTCCCCACTAATTCTAAATTGTAGTCCAGATTGTACCACAGAGACATCTGTGATCAACATCCCAAAGACAAGGCTCAGTGAACGTACCGACATACTCCCAGACTTATCAAGAACTAAACACACAATTCTTTGTCCAGTCTGCAGCAGTGAGAAGGTAGGTGTAGGGGGCTGAGTCGTCATGGGAGTGGCTTGCTTAAAGTCCTCAGATTCCTGGATGACTTCCCATGTGCTTTGGAGATTGCATCGTTGGTTTTGGAGGTTTGGAGCTTCTTTATTGTGATTTTTTTCTGTACAGAATTCAACCACCTGTAATTGCCAATAAAATGATACAGATAACATCAAAGTACTTGCTATAATATTCAACAAAATTAACTCCTCCCTTTCCCCTCTAGGCTGCCCCACTAACTTATAATCATGGTTCAGTCCCACAATGACTGCACACACTACTGGGGAAAATCACAGTCATAACCTGGAATCCTATCTAAAACCACCACATCTTCAGCCCCATTGGACCTCTAGTGCTCCTTGGTGATCTATTGACCTTCTCTAGGTGGCTTCCTTTACTTAGATTTGCCATTCAAGATATCACCACTCTTTACACCACCCTCTTCAGCATTGCTGGTACCAGCTTGGCTCTCCATTTTCAAACCTACGAACTGCACCTCCTTACTTCCTGAACATCGTTAACTAATAATACCCCATGTTTGAGTTTGGACACCTAACTTTCCGGCTTGCTCCAAAATCCATCTGGGTATCTCACGGTTTCCTCAAACTTCATGCCTTCATAATGACCTCATCACTTTTCTCCAGCGCTGCTCCTCCTCCTTGTGTATTTCTTTACTTGATATCAACCTTATACCCCGGTTACCCAACTCAAGAGAGTGGGAGATTTCCCACTACAAATGACCTCAAATCTATGCATGTCCCTCTGCTTCCAGTTTATCGTCTTTCCTTCCTTCTCAATGGCATCTCGGTCATCCAAGTCCTTGTATCCTTCCTTTCGATGGTTCTAGTCACCCATCTGGCTTTTCCCCCTTACTGCTTCTTGATTGGTCTAACTTACAGCTGCTTGAGGAATCTTTCTTTGTATTCCTATAAATAAGACTCTATATTGTTCCTGTATGATGCTGTATTATGATATATGTGCACATGTGTGTGCCTGTGCCTGTGCATGTGCATGTGCATGTGGGAGGGGGTGTGCATGTAGAGTCCCGAGGTTGATGTTGGCTGTCTTTTCTCAGTTGTTCTCTGTCTTTATTTCTTTGGTGACAGGATCTTCCAGTCGATCTGGAGCTCATCAACTCGGCTAGACTGGCCATGAACTGTAGGGGTTTGCCATCCTTGGCCCCCCAGTGCTGGGATTACTGTAGCATGCTGCCATCCTTGGCTTTTTATGTGGATTCTGAGGATCTGAGCTCAGGTTCTCCTTGCTTGCACAGCAGGCACTTTACCAAGTCAGCCTTATTTCCAGCCTTATAAGGCCCTTTGTGCGGGTCGTGATTACCCACATGCTACATACCAGACACTTCATGGCAAACAGCAGTCTCCACGGTGCAGATTTTCGCTTCATTTCCCATTCTCCTTCCGGCTATGCAGACCAAGTCTCTACTTTCTTTCACTCTATCCTATTGGTTCCCAGAGTTGCCAGTTTTCTTCACTCCTGTCCCTCTGCTCTTGATCCTTTGCCAAGGAGTTCCCTCTCTTGCTTTTAACCAAAAGGTCACTTTCCAAACGTTTTTCTCATTTTCTATTCCTTCTCATAGAGAATTTCCATTCAATCCTCTGTTGCATTAGAATGCTATGTACAAACTCCAGTGAGGCCACTTTTACATCCTACTGTGTGTCTTAGACTATAAATCCACCACCAACAGAAACCTGCTCTCTCAAAATCTGGCCTGGTGTCTGATATATAGTATGGGCTAAATGCAAGATTTTTTTTTTAGTAACATTAACCTTTATGCATCTCATTTTTTAATATGTAGAATGATGATAGTTATTGTACAATTACCTAAAACTACACACAAGTCAATACTATTACAGCCAATAAGTGATGGTTCCTTTCCTTTATTTTTCATTACTTATATCCTTAACATTTGTGAGACTAAAAATGGAGGCACAAGGTACAAAGAAGGAATAACCTAGTTCTTCCTCTTGGGGACTTTATAGTATTGTTATTCAGTTAAAAAACAGATTCAGGGAGAGCTGGAGAGATGACCCAGCAGTTCAGAGCAGTGGGTGCTCTTGCAGAGGACCCAGGTTTGGTTTCCAGAGCCTACATGGTGGCTAACAACCACCCATAACTCCAGTTCCAGGGGATCTGACACCCTTTTCTGACCTCTGTGGGCATTGTACAACAGGAGTGCACTTACATACATGCAGGCAATACACTCAAGTAAAGGATTGAAAAAAAAAAAAACAGACCCAGAAAGACAAACACCACATATTCTCTCTCATAGCCAGATACTAGCTTTGAATTCTTAGATATACATATTTTAATTGGAAAATCCAGAGATGTCAGGAAACAAATGACTAAGGGCAGTGTGGCTTCATAAGAGAGGACCTAGGATGCAGTGATAAAGGGGGAAATGGGAATAATAGAGTAGGAAGGGTTAAACGGGGTGGGGATTTGGAGGGCAGGACAGAGGAGGGATCATGGGAGGAGATATAGTTTATATATACATATATATATATATGGAGATGTAAGGGAATTGACTTGTAACAGAGGGGCATTGCTCTTACTAGACACCATAGGCTAGCAAAGTAAAACCCAATGCCAGGGATGGACTTCTTCTTCTGAAGCTGTTGACCAGGGGTCTCATAGACCCTCAAACACTACTAGCCATTGCTCCTGCTCTTAGTTACCCACCAAAACTTCCTGGTAAGACCCTATTGCTGAACACACTACATACATGAACCATATTAAAAACAAGGAGAAATCAAGCTGGTACTGACTTCAAAGCTTCATTTCTACTGGCTTGCTTTCCTAGTGCTAGAAAGTATTATAAATGCTACTGGAAGAAAAAAATTAACCATTAACCTTACCTAGCTGTGAATGCTGTGTTGCTTCAATAACTGGCCTGGCAAGATATGACCTCTTGTGCAATAGTGGCATGAATATTATGGGAGATACCAAACACTTTCTAACTGGAATTCAGATCAACTTCATAAGATGGAGCCTATATCTGACATTCATATCAGGCCTAGGAACATGTGGCTAGACAGGCCATAGGCCATAGAATATTATTATTACCAAAATAACACTATTATTCTGGAATAATACTATTATTCTGGTAGATAGACTATTAAAGTGACTCCTAATGACTTATTGTTATATCCATAGATTAATTTATCTATCAACTCTCACCAGAGAGGGTTCCTTATGCAGCAGATGGTGATTAACCAAGAGGCCTACAACTGGCCAACTGGCAGAGAACAAGAAGCTGCAGAGTGGTTGTCCCTGAATTGGACACCTGTATCAAACTTCTGCTGCCAACAGCTCAGGGATCATTGTGGAAGAGGGGGAGGAAAGACTGCAAGAGCCAGAGGTGGTGGATGACCACAAGAAAATGGAGTTTTCCAGATAGCTAGGATTTACTCAATTGGACTAACAGCAAAGGTGACAACATGTACAAGTAACCCAGCATAGATGTGGGGAAGTGGATAAGAAACTCCAACTCTCTCTGAGGAACTGTTGGCAACCAATGGCTGCTGGGAGGGGGAGAACATGTCTCATTTAAGGATGTGACTCTTAGTAGGTTAACTAGGTTTCAGGGGAGGACCCTCACTGAAGAACATTTGGGGGCATAAATTTGACTCTATAGTCTAAGTTTGATATATGATATTCACCATTTGCCAGTATCAATTATATTTGGCTGGCATTAGTTTTGGCTGGGTGTTATTATACAGATAAACAGGGGTAGTTAAAAGTTTAATATCCCTCTGACTAAAACAAACAGTTTGCCCCTATTAATCACTAATTCTCCATTGTCTAATGGCACCAAGACTTTATCCTTATCGCTCTATAGGCTAGTGCACTTTGTCCTCCTGTTTCAAGTGGTTAAATAGCTTCTAAATAAATGTAAAATCTTTATGATAATTAAGCAGCAGATGAATAACTCTATTCCATCTTATTTGCTAAGAACTTTCCATATAAATGGCATTGTGCCAGCATCCAGGAGGTGAAAAGGTAAGTCCTACTCAGAAAGAAATGTTGTTTGATTGAAACGTGTCATTAAATTATAAGATGGAAGAACATGAAGTATTAAGAGATTAAAAAAAAAGAATCATAGTATTCAAAGACCGGTTACTATACAGTTCAAACTATAGCTATCATATGAGTCAAAAACATAATCTTAAATGTTTGGGATTTCAGAAATTTATAAAGTAATCTTTTGTTGTAAAATACTGTTTTATTCATTCATATTTTTTTTTAGAGCACATGTTTTGATAGTGATTCCAGGTACTAGTATGGCTACTTGTTAGTGAAGTAACCTGAAAAGAAAAATAGTGTAAACCCCAGGTAGAGATTCTCAATCTGGCTATGCATTTAATTTACATTAACTCATTTAAAACCTTAGCATTTGTGAGACTAAAAATGGAGGCACAAGGATACAGTCAGTATCCAACCAAGGGTGGTACAGCTTACAGTTTTTGATGATGGTGTGGAGGGACGCAAGTCCATAGAAACCATGTGTCTCAAATTCTGGCATTTTTTGATACTAGGTACTTTTGCAGTGCTAGACAGTAGAAGTGAGTGCAGTTCCCAGTCCATCACAAGGTTGCAGGCCAATGACTACAACTGCAGTGTGGCATGGTGCTAGGTTGAGTTCTGCAAGGGTTGGTATATTAGATTCAATTTCAACTCATGAAAATGGGTTTATTGGGACATAACCTCAAGGAACCTCTGTCCATTACCGGGACTCCTCCAAATAGATCTGGGAATTACCTGCAAAGCCAGGTGAAAGATGGGCCTGGAGAATCATGTGCATCAAATTTTAAAAACGTAAGTCCTGTAGTTACTGGCAGGTCCTTAAAAGTTATTTTTCCCTCCGTCCCAGAAAGAAAACACAATTTTAGATAGGATACCAGCAAATAAGAAGGGCTCCCCACTAAACTCACCTTGCGGACACATTTATTCTTATTTATATGGATAGTCAAGTTCAACTATGACCAGTGGATCATCACTAAAAAAACAGCAAGACATAAAATCTGCACAAGATTAGGTCCATAAGCATCCTCTCAGGGAAGGGGAAGGGATTTGAGTGGCCCCACCCTTCCCTGAAGATTTATATGCAGTTAATGGTTGATGGGGAAGGAGAGAGGTTTTCTTCAGCAGCGTTAGCTGCTGGAAAGGGACTTGTGTTCCTGTGAACAAACCCTGACCCATACTCCTGTAAGCAATCTTAACGAAACTCAGTTGGTCACACACACAAAAAGACAGGAGGGTGGAAGGACTAGCCGGAGGAGGAAGAGGATTAGTAGGAGTGGAGGAGGGACAAGAGAGGGTAAGGAGGGAGTGACTATTACAGAAATGCAGTATGTAAATCTATGAAAATTTGATAAACCCATTATTATGCATAATTTATATATGCTAATAAAACATTAAAAATAGCAAGAAGGTTTTTTTTTATTATTTAAAGATATTGAAACTATGAACAAACTCTCAAAGGGCATTAACAGTCTTAAAATGATAGAAAAATGTAGTTAACCACCAAAGGTAGAAACAGTCTGTAAAGAACTCTCTGGAATTTAATTAAAGGACTATTATTCATCTCTCTGTTAACTAATGAAAGGTAATGCCTATTCTTCCTGGATAAATGTCTTATTGAACTAAGATGCTTTGTGCTCAAATGCCTTTAAAGGTATCTGAATTGATTCTAAGCACTTAAAAGCTAGAACAAAGGAAATAGGGGAAAGAAGAGGGGTGAAGAGAGGGAAGGGTCATGGTTTTATGCTCTTTTGTATTCCCAGCTCAGTCTGGGGGGCATCGGTTGTTGATTTCCCTTTAAAGCTGACAGTTTCGCTAAAATTTGATCTTCCCTTAGAGTACCTGGGTAAAGCAAAACCCTCCTCCCTTAATTCATATATACATGGGGAAAAAATAAGGCACTTACTGAATCGATACTTTGTGCAAACATTATGGAAGCCTTCTCAGTCTGTTGCTTATGCGGTATGAACACACAATCTTTTTCATACAGTCCTGTTACTTTGTCGAATCTGCAGGCTTTTCCAGTGACACAACTGCCTCCCTGGCACTGATATATTCTATTTTCACCACTAATAGCTTCTGAACACCTGAAAATATATTAATGTTTGATCTTTAGGCCATGAGATCATTTCAAAAGTTTCAACTTTGAGCTTAGTCTCTTTTGTGTGATAGCCAAAGAAGCAAATACATGTCCTTCTATAACAAAGCATTACTTTTAAAATCAGTTATTTCTGCTGCCAGAAAGAATCGAAGGGGGCTCCAAAACAGTATCAGAACAGCATTACTGCAGCTCAGTCTCAGACACCTCCAATCTATTCTTCTCATCCCCAGAATGTCAGGAGCACCTCCTTTTTTCTCCCCAAAGATTTGTTTGTTAATTGTTTTTCCTTACTGCTTTATTTCAAATAGTTTTTACAGTTCTTATATGTTGATGGATTTATTTTTTGTTATGTGCTTATGAGCTTTGCTATTATAAATGGAATGCTTTCCTCTCACATTTTATTTTTTAATTATAGTTTTGAATATGTAAGTAATGTAAGTATATAAGATATTTAGAATACAATAAAACCTATAAAGAAAAGCTATGTCTCATTATTAGAAATAAACCATTTAACATGTTGAAACATTTTCTCTATACCAGCACAACATTACACATGTAGGTTGTTTTCTGCTTTTAAAAAACTTAGCAGGTTAGTATATTTTAAACATTAATATATAATTTCATGTTTTTACAAAATGTGAATTTAATATTTTTGATAGTACATAAATACAGCATAATTTACTATATGTCCTTTTTCTTAAGTTTTCAAAACAACACATTTATGCATACACAAAATTTCACATGAAGTTTTGACCATATTTCCATGTTTTCCTGATGATTTATTTTTTGAGGAAATTGTCAGTTCTAAAGTTTTGAACATTAAAAAATATCTGTTAATATAGTTCATTCTATCATTTCCTTAAAGTGGATTTTTAAACATGGAGTTGCTTGGCTGAGAAACAGAAAAAAAAAAGATTTGATATATGTTACTTTTCAAAAATGTTGCTTTAACTGGAACAACTATCTGTAAGAACTGTGGACTCACTGGCAGTATGTAAGGGAGATGACCTCACTTTGTCCAGTTTGCTTCTCTTTGATTACTAGTAAGCATCGGCATTTCGTGTGTTTATGGACTTCTAAAATTTTCTTCTGTCATGAACTATATATTCTCTCTTGCCAAATTTCTATTCATGTTTCACTGATTTTCAAACGTTTATGTTTTGGTTTTTTCTCCTTTGAGACAGAGTCTCTTGCAGCCCAGCCTGGCCTTGTGCTTCAATGTGTATCGGAGGATGGCTTTGAGCCCCTGGTCCTCCTGCCTTCACCTTGAACACGCTGTGCTTCCAGATGTCTGCCATCGCTCTTTGTTTAAAATCCTCTTAATGTGTTACAATATTAAATTCTAAAAGCTTCAATTGTTTTATTTTTGTGAACATCTTTTTTTCTGTTTGTTTCTTTTCTTTTCTTTTTTGAACCCTATTTAGTTTATGTTTTGTTTTACGTGCAACAAAATTTTAGTTTTATGGGAAATCATATTTACTCTCTTTGTTCTTTTAGTAATGCCTTTTGCTAAAGAAATTTTTTTGAGACAAGGTCTTATTATTTAGCCCAGGATAGCCTTGAAATCACTATCCTCTTGAGTCAGTCTCCTGAGGGCTGAGATTACAGTCATGTGCCACCACAATTATCTCTTATCCCAATTTTTAAGAGCATAGAAAACAGTAACCTTCACTGCATATATATTTGTTGTTTATTAACTTGATGTATATTCACATTAATAATTTCAAATAGGGAGAAATTAATGTATAGATGTATTTATTAATATTTTCTATTTCTTAATGCTAATAATTGCATTATGATTTTGTTTTCATTTTTAATGAGTCTAGCCAATTGGAAGAGGCTCTGTAATTTGTAATTAAAACTCTATTAAATTATTCTATAGAAATGACATTTGTATTATTTTATTTAAGGCAGTGTTATATTTAAAATTCGGTAAATAAAGCTCCCTTTATTGTGATTCTTTAGTTGAGTGAACTCTAGGATTTTCAAATGAGAAAAAAATTTTTTTAACTAGATTTTCATAAAATCTATACATCATTTTTTGTTGAATTGATAGCTTTTGTGTGTGGAAAGCCTCTGTATTCAGCTTGATTTTTTTTTCTAAATCTTTTAGAATTCTTTATAGTTTTCTTCAAATATATCTTCTGCTTCTTAGAGTTTTTTTTTCCTGAATTGCTATCTTGAAAAGACTTTAATATTACATCTTGAACTGGCTATTACTAATTTGTGGAAAATCAATGCAAATCATTACTTTCTATGGTTCCTTTGCCCACTTTCCTTTCATTGCTTGGGTTTTCTAAGTGGACCATGTGCTGCATGTGGGTGATTTTCTCTCTTCCCTTCTGGTAGCCCTTTTTGTGCCTCCTCAGTTTGATGTAGTACCACATTAGAAGCCACTTCCTAAACAGATCTGGATAACTACGACCACAGTGGCCTTCTGCGTCTTCTTCCTGGGACTGTCTCTAGAGTTTCCTTATTAAACATGGGCTGGGCTGTTGGTTTTCAGAGATGTGCTATGTCCAGTTAATGGAGTAACTTGTTCTGGATAGTTACTATTTTTGCGATTACTTTTAGGCCAATAAGTAATGAAAACATTTGGAAGATAATGTATAATACACATCATGAATACATTCTAATAGAATTTATTTTTTTTAAGAGTACATGACAATCATGTAAGCTTTGCTTATGTGGTATGGAAGGAAAAGCATGCTGATATGTAGATATTTCTATATGATATCAGAAAGTAGTAAGTACAAACCAGTCTTCTTAAGGGAAGATACAATGTCTACCTGTGTAGAAGCTTAGAAAAGAGGAATGGGAGAGGCAGATAACAGGCTTGGAATAGTGCCATTGACTGATATTTGAAAGGTAAAACAAACGTGGTCATGTTGGGGAAATGACTGACTCTGGTCTGTGTAATGCAGAGGGTATAAGCAGATGGCATCTGGCATTCTGCATGGCTGTAGGCTGCTATGTAGAACCCACTGATGGCTGGAGAGCTCTGATGATATGTTGAATGTGGACCATGCTGACAGAGCTTGAATGCAATAATCAAAGGGAAAAGTGGGGAGCCGTAATGTGTGATATCATGCGGGAGGAAAGGAGTTCAAGACTGAGTTCTGAGCCTGGTCCAACCCTTCTTGGAAATGACTGTGCCAAGTCAAGATTCTAAATGAACCAAAGTTGAGTGTTTCTCCTTTAATGAGCCGTCAGTGGAGGAAGACTGGGAGCAGAATTGGGGAGAGCATTGTATCAACTTCTATTTTTAAAAATTATTGAACTGGGTATGTTGGCACATACCTTTAATCCTACAGAGGCAGGTAGATCTCTGAGTTTAAGGCCATTTGAGGCAGCCGGATCTACATAGCAAGTTTCAGGTCAGCCAGAGCTATATAGTATGTCCCTGTCTTGAAAAAATACACTTATACACAGAAATAAATATGCAATTTTATCAAGCTTCTTGATATTATATTAATTACCTAATATAACAGCCTTTTTTGATTGTGGGAAGCCTCCCACTGAGTTTTTACTATCCCCTTAATTCCACTAGCTGTAATTTATTATCGTTTTGTTTAAAATGTTTGCCTCTGTGTTTGTAGAGAACTATAACCTTCAAGTTTTGTTTTGTTTTGTTTTTGTTGTTTTTTTCTTAACAGCGTCTGCCAGGTTTTAGTATCTGAATCACATTGCCACTTTAAAATAAATGACTGCACTCCTTGTCGCTTATGCTTGTACTAAAGCAGTTATACTCGTGGAAAATTCTGTTTGCCAGAATTTTCCCATAAAACCATGGCAGCCACTTTTCAAGTGTGATTCACTTTGTTTTCTATTGACACAAGCAGGGTTCACTTTAGACTGTGAAGAGATTCTGTTGCCTTTGGTTTTAATGTCTGGGTTGTCTTTTAAGCAAGCTCCACGGCCCCTCTGAGACCCAGTCCAGTAGAGCTCAGTCCTCCTTAAAGAGCTGTAGCTCTGCCTCTGGTACTGAAAGAGGAGACACTGCATTGCACATACCACCTACAGCTGCAGTAGAGTTGGACACAGTCAACAGGATGCAAATAAATTAGAGCTGCAAAGTAGAAAATTCAGTTAGTTGAAGCACTTGTAAACAAAAGTGACCATTTTGTGGAAATCTGAAAAAAAAACGCACTAGAAAAGAATGAGTTGGAGATAGAAGATAAGCAGAAGACTGATGTTTTTAAAGAACCAATTCAAGGAAGCATTGGCTGTATCTTAAAATGGTTTGAGACACATACAAATATACGTACTTTACTGCTTTGGGTCTTCCTCTGGACAAGTAGAACTTCTCATCGTAATTGTATTCATCCATCACTCCCCATCGTAGATGAGCCCACTCGTGGACAAACACCCTACCTGTGAGCAAATATTTCCAGCAGCTGAGTACAATATTCATGGTGAAGCAACCTTCTCACACTGCAGGAAGACAATCCTTCTAAATGTCTATTTTGCTTTGCTAAGCTTTTACCAAAGTAGAGGCCTGATTTCTGTAGATGGGCCTAATAAACATATACATTTCTGTAAAATATGGGTATTTATTTTGGCTTATCAAATGTTAACAGGATGCTGAGTGAGAGTCAGGAAGTTATCCATTCTCTGACCAGGCAGCTACCTTGTCCTCACACAGAGCTTGGCCTAGTGAAGGACACACAGACTCAGATAGCTAAAATGCCTAGTGGTGCCAGAATTAAGTGCAACTCCTTAGCACAGTGTATGAAGTGCCTGATAATTCAGGCCCCACTGTGTCCCCAGCTTTCTTTCCTGCTGTTTATACTCTTTTGTGCTCCACAATCACAGCGAATTCCAGAACTTTCATGTCCCAGGTTACATCATGCTCTTGACTGACTCTGGTTCTTTACATATGTTTCCTGTCCTTGGAATCTCCTCTAATTGTCTCCCTAATGCTAATTACTACGACTCTTCTTTTCATCCCAGCTACTTGAGAGACGGAGGCAGGGACATCACTAATTCAAGGCCAGCCTAGGGCAACTTTTTTGAGATCTGGTCTCAAAAACAAACAAAAACAACCAAATTTCTGTCCACCTAGTTGTGTTCCTGGGCATGCTCAGACCAGGCCAGGCTCTCTTCCTCTATATGTTCACTGTATCCCTTTATTGCACTTACGTCTTATGTGGTCTTCGTTACTTATCTCTATGAGGACATGTACTATGATTTCTTCCCTGTCATACTTGGGAACATAATGTCTAAAGATTAATAGACACTCATTAAATATCTGCTCTATTTGGATGAATCTTAGTTTTTTTTTTTTTTTTTCTGCCTTGTCTAAGTTAAGAAAACTGCTGATTCTGGACGATTCTAATCTTTTTTGATATTAGTTATCTAGTACTAGTTATTTAGTAATACTGAGTATTTGAGTATATTTATAAAAGCACATATTAATATGTACTTTGTGGCTTATTTTAACATTTTCCCTAAAGATATATAGCTCATATGGACATGATGAAGAATTTATTTTTTCTAAGGAAAATTGAACTTTTTTTCTTTAGTTATACTTTTCTTTTCAGAATCTCCCTAAGTAGCCCAGGATGGCCTCATTCTCAGGATCCTTCTCTCTCAACTGTCTTGTGATTATGGATGTGCGTTACCACTCACAGCAGTGACAGGCTTTCAAAAGATGAGAGCAAGATTAGTCTATCTGCTACTCAGAGAGTGGCACACAGACCAGTAGTATCAGTATCACCTGGAAGATTATTAAGAATTCAGAGGCTGAGTCCCTCCCCAAGCCTACTGAATCATGATCTGTGTTTCAAAGATCCCTTTACAGTTTGAATGCAGGTAAAAGCCTGATCATTGTGCATGGTCACCATCTGGTGGTTATCACATGAATCGCAGGAAGGTGATTTAATTCATTCAGGTGAGTTAACAGATACATAGAAACCTATCTCACTACATGTTACCATAATTACCCTGCACTATGGCAATTTATAACAACACTTACATAGGTAAGCAAACTAATGTTAATCTATGGCTGAGAAATGCACTGTTCTCAATCATTGTTTTAAATGAAACATGCTTTATTAAATTTGTTTATTATAATTTATTTATCCTATGTGGGCTTACCCATAAATATAATGATATTGTCTATAAATTTTGAAATACAATTGCAAGATTATGAGTAATTTGGTGGAATAGCTGTTCTTAGTCCATACCTTGTGGTCCATACTGAGCCAACTTCTTTCCTGCTAAGAAGTTCGGAGTGAGGTGAATCTGTATCCCCATCTCTCCACACTTTCCTATCTGCTCAGTGTAGGGCTCATCATCATCTGGGGTGCTACGTGCAGCCACCAGAACATCAGCCTGAAATGCAGGAAAAGATTATCACACCATTTCAGCAAACTGATTCTGACACAATTCCATTTGGTTCTAGAATATTTTGACTTGGGAAAAAAACCCACTAGAATACAGAAGAAAATCAATTTAAAGAACATGATCTCACATTTTTTAAGGTCTCAAGTTTTGGCCTCACATAGTCAGGTTTTGTCTTCCAGGTTTCAGGAATCAAAATGGCAACATTTTTGAAATAAAATCTTTTCCCCGTGGCCTCAAACAGGTATGGAGATGCTTGAGTCACCATGTCCTGGGAAGAAAGAAAACAACAGCCAAATGATTGAGAACAGATTCAAGTATAAGTCACCTGAATTTGCATGTGTAATTTGCCTTTCAAATGACTTGCTGGACAGGGGACAGGGCTTTATTAACAGTATCAGCTAACCTTTCTGAGCAGTTTTCACACCATAGGACAACAGGAAGCAATGCAGACTCTAGAGGCAGATGCTAACCCTGGCATAGCCCCTTCTTGTGGGACACTAGGTACATTCTAATCCTGATCTTTCCACTTATGAAAAGAAAACTATTACCATGACTACCTGCTAAAGCACTAGGAAGCTCACTTAGAATCATATGTTCAGTGTCACCCAGTGACTTCATTGCATTTGCTCCTTGAACATCAATAAAGCTTTGAGAATCTGGGAATGCAATTCCCCAGGCCTCACAACAATAGCAGTGGAGAGAAGCAAAGTAAATATGACTCCAACACCTGCTGTATCAACATAATAATTTTGGGATTTACTACTGAATCCAAATTAACTTATTTAATACTAAATGTTATGGTAGCATGGTATTAGGAGTTAGATAACAGGAAGCAGTATGATTATTTATTTTCAAATTATGCAGAACTTTGTCTCTAAAAAGTTAAGTGGCAGTAATAGTAAGTGCCCCTTGCCGGCTCCCCAGGGTGCAGTACCCCAAGAAGATGTATTCTTGCAACTGCTGCTGAGGAACGAAGGCATTGGGTATGCTAGGATCGAGAGTGAGTGCTGACAAGGAATGGCGTTCTCTCCAGCATTTTGAGGTAGGCAGAGAGGAAATGAATCTGGAAAGGATGGCTGAGGAGAGAGCTGAGCCTTGGGCAACACAGGTGAGCCACAGAACGAGCCCGCAGCTCCAAGGAGTGAGTCAGCCTGCGGTGATGAAACGGAGACAATAATAAAACTAGCAGGCCTGAAAATGTTCCTATACATAGAAGGGACCAGAAATAAGGCACAAATTTTGTTTGTTTTAATGGGAACCACAATAACGTTTATATGTTAGAGGAAAACGGTAATGCAAAGGAAAAGCGGAATGGGGCAGGAGTAAAGTCCTGCTGGAGCTGGCCTGTGTGAGCAGACTTGGTCCTGGCTGGAGCTGGCCTGTGTAAGCAGACTTGGTACCCAGTCAGGGAGAGCACAGTAGAAACAGCCCATCACTGTCTGGGGAGGCCTAATTGGGTAGAGATGAAGGGCTGAACTTGTTCCTCCCCTTCCTAGTGCTCTGAACTGGGGCATTTATTTTTTTTCTCTCTAAGCTTTACTTTTTCCCTTTTCAAATAGCAACAGTAATGATTCCTTTCCTAACCTAAAAAAATTGCTTGATGATTTGCATTTCCATCTTCTAAAAAGTCAGATTTTTAACAAGTACTGGGAGGGTTTGATATTATACATATAATTCTAAATTTTTTTAAAAGAGTGAAAAAAAACCACTAAAAAGTTGATGATGAGTACTTTACTGCAGTTTGACTTGTGGAATGTGCAGAAGGAAGCATAGGCTGCACGAAATAAATGCTCAAGTCTTTGGGCTTTGGTCGAAACATTAGATGTTCCAGGCTCTGAGAACTTGACCTCATATCCACACAGATGTTTTAACTCTGGCTGAGAGAAGATTGTGGGCATGGCTTATGGGATGAGCCCAACATTCCTTAAGGACAGGGATCGAATATTGCTGACAGCCGGATTCATAGTGCCTGACATAATGTAGGTGCTTTGCAAATATTTGTTGTATGGTTGAACCAAAGATTAATTAACTGAACAAATAGTTATGATGAATGGCAAACAGGCACACTAGTGTCAAGACCAACAGCATCTGTGCTGTGCACTGAAGAGATACTCCAACATACTCCCATTGATTGTTCCTTGTGTAACTGTGTCTGTGGAGGATGAGGGGCAGGGGAGGAGCGGGACAGGTGCTTCTTCCTGTTCTCATTTGTGGAATGTACTCCCAGGGTGTCTGTAAGCCACAGAGGAGCCTTGACAGGAGCCAGGGGTGGTGCATGACGCTGACCATATAGGTGGAGAAAGAGTGAGCACTGTCCTGCTGAAGCCAAGTATTTAAAAAAGCTGACTTGGAGACTCTGTCCCAACAAGGGCATCTAGTGGAGAATCTCCCCTCAGAAAGGTTATAGGAGCAGAGACTGAAGAGGAGCCAGGAAAGACAGCCATGCCCGCGGTGAAACGAAGCAGGGAGGAACTGGCTTTTGCTAAGCACTCTGAGAGCCTCAGCATAACATTATGCGTCACTGTTTTCTTGTCACAGAGGGGGAAGTGGTGGAAACCAACTTAGTTCACACACAGTTCAGGTAGTCCTCATTTCAGAAAGCTAATTCAATAACTGTGGTGAGAAATATATATTTTCAGGGAGGAAACCTACCAAAGATAGTGGGGGGAAGGAAGCACCCTGAAGGTTCCTAGCTCCATATAACTACAAATTGCCATTGTTACCGGAGCTAAACACTGTGTTCTCCTGGCATGCTCCTCAAACTCATGGAGGCAGAAGCACACTGACCGCATTTCTCTTCTATATTCTGCCTTGTCTATTTTCCCAAGTGCCCACTTCATTCTTGCAGATGTCATTTCCAAATTCAGAGGCAATCAAATGCTCACTCAAGGTTTCAGACCTGAGTTTCCCTTTACCAATGCCAGTTGGAAGGCCTTTCGATAAGTCGGCAAACTTCATAGGGAGAAGTGTGCTCCCTCCATTCCCCTGACCCTGCTACAAAACACTAGCCAGGAACCCTGGCAGATAAACATGGCTCTTTCTCCAGTCCTCTTTTCTGGATTTGCTTCTGCTTAGAGTAAGGCATCATTAGGAGGATCTTCTGGACTTTCATACAAGGAATTTTCCATCAGGAGGGATAGAAAGGTGACTGATGGAGGAGGGGCTGAGCTTCGGTGACCCTCACTGCTGAACTATTTGATACTGATAGATTCAAGGAGAGAGGAAATCACTGTCTTTAGTTAAGTACTCACTGGTGACTCCACCGGGCTCCAATGGATAGTTCTAATACAATACTCACATAGACAGCCCTGGTTAAACTAAACGGGTCAATAAACAAAACTAAAAGTCATGAATCTGGGAAAGGGACTAAGGGGGTATTGAAGGGAAGGGAGGGAGATAAGAAAGAGTGGGGGTGTTAGTAATCAGAACTTCACATTATGATATGTTTGAAATTGCCAAAGAAAAAATTTAATTTAAAAAAGAAATGAAAGAAAACCTTTTGTCCAAGCACATAAACAAAATTCAATGAATGTATGAATGAGAACAAAAAACATAAGAAAAAAATGTAAAATTCAATAAAGTAAAAATACTGTTAAAATGCAGTAAAAAGAACAAAAGGTCACTGGAAACCAGTGATTATAGCTACAATTTATTGAGCTCCTATTGTGTCCCAGACACTATGTATGCATTTTTATATTCTCCTCACAAAACCCTATCACAAAGCTGCTTGTTATTGCCCACATTTCACAGATGAGGACACTCATTTCCTCATATAGCACTGCCTGTGAACATGCCCTAGGCAGATTCCAGGTGGTCTTCTAAGGCATTCCTTTCTTATTTTTAGCCCATGTTGTGAAAGACCTTCTCTAATTCCTTTACCTAACAACACTTTGGATAGCTCTTCCAGGAAAGGAAACTTTTATGCACTTCCTCTCCCCACACAGAAGAGGTAGCTGGGTGAGAGCTACCCCCTCAGCAGCCCTCAGCTGATCCCTTGATTCTAAGTTGATGAAATGCAGGGTCTCTGTGCATTGGAAGGACTGATCTTAAAGTAGAGCTTGCATCCTGATTCCTATTAGCATCACATGGAAGGGTGGTTACAAACAGAAAGATGGAAAGGGAGCCTAGTATGTGCCAATGATAGCATCAAGAGAAGGAATTGGCGTCTTTACAACTGACTTTGCTTTCATATGGAATGAAATGATACAGACAGAATCTACAATCAGTAAATACAGACATCATTTAGTAAGTACCAACAATATATCTAACTCTGAGTTATGTGCATTGCATTCAGCTTATTCTTCACAACAATCCTAGTTATTGAAAGGGTTATTGCTTCCATTTTATAGATGAAGAACCTGAGATTCAGACATAAAAATATCTTCTTGCCAGGTCAAGCAGCTGGAACAAGAGGCGTCATCTTCTTTTTATCAAAATACTATGCTTGTTGCAATAGTAATTGAAAAGCCACAGATAATGGCCACATGGAACATACCTTTATCTGCTGAATGAGCGCTTCATCTTCTGGCAAGCTGGGATCAATGGCAATGACAATGCCTTCGTAGCCATTGTTGTTTAGTTGAATGAGGGAATTGCTTAGGGCCCCTTCTAGAAGGTGGAGGACCAAGATGAAGACAGAACTCTTTAATGATCCCATTGTTGCAAATTTCCCTTTGGAAAATGCTGGCTATGAGGATGTCTACCACTATATATATATATATATATATATATATATATATATATATATATATATATATATATATATATATATATATATATGCACGAAAATATAGACACGGTTCTCCCAACTTATCAAAGATGATTTATTATAGGACTTTAGCCTCTTGACCTAAAGTGGTTCATTACCACATTTGTCTACAATATGAGAGTAACTATCGTTTAAAACCCAATTGTGTACTTTTAAGTGTTTCTATTTAAAAGGAATGTTGGGCTGGCCTTGGCCTGTGCCAGATCTTGGCCAGATGCTTGAGCAAGGGTGGGGGGGCCCACATCCGGTTCTCTGGAAACACTCATGCCAAACAAGCAGGTTGGCCATTGGAAGATCTGTTTACTTACAAATATTTGCCTAGTCAGGGACATTGACCCACCCAACACCACCCCTCGCCCCTCCTTCCCAGGTCCACTGCACTGTGTTCAGTAAGCTTTCAGTCCCTGAAAGCCATCTCTCCAGTTCTCAGAGTGGTCTTTGCTCCGACTCTCATCAGTGGTGACTTAACCTCAGCTCTTCTTGGTGTACTTCTTAGGCAATCCACATGCACCAAAAGCATTAGCAAGTAATTTAAATGTTATTGACTATTTTTTACTGGAGAGAAAAGATAAAATTTTCATCTTATTTTGAAAAGCAAACTTCCTCCAGTTTCCTCAGCACACAGGCTGCTTCTCTAGCCCATGTTTCTTACCACTTAATAAAGTTTAAACCAAAAGCATGAAGTTATTTTGCTGAACTTAAATATCACTCTGAAACAAATTATAGAGGCTAAGCTATTATATTTATATTTCAAACTTCAGATGAAAATCCGTAGTGACCCACTGTGTTCCTGTATTCAAATTACTTGGAAATAGCTTTTATCCAAACTTGGTTTGATCTTCAGAGAGAAGAAAACACGAGTTTTACCTTGTCTGTCCGTTTTCTTTGATGTTGATTCATACAATTTAAGTTAATATTTAGTGCTAACATAATATTAGCAATAGAAAAAGAAATATTGAAGTAGAGAAGTTCAAAGTGATTATTCAGATGATCTAAATATGCATTCATGGGAAAAGATAATACATTTATTATACATAGAAATAAAAAAAAAATAGATTCTGGGCCAGTGAGATGGCTCAGTGTGTTGAAGACACTTGGTGCTGTGCCTGACAAACTGACCTTGATCCCTGGAATCTACCTGGTGTGTTTGGTTCCAATATTATAATAAAAGAGTTGCATTTCTGTGTGTGTGAGTACAGATTATCCCACTTGTCCTCTAAGAGCAAGGTCAAGTTCATTAATTTATAGAATTGGATTAATAAAATCTCCTTCAAGTTGTTGACTAATCACAATAACCTAAAATACACACAGTGGGAAAATTACAGTTGTGTGTGTGCTGTCAAAAGCATAGACAGGTATATTTTTGTCTTTCTGAGATGTCAGAATTTGTCCAATAGCAATGGATTAACAAGCTATATCAGTTTCTGTGGTTGCAGTTTATCAAGTAGTCTTGATTTCCCTTGCTAGTGTGACTGTTGGCAGTTATAGGCTTTTTTAAATGTCAATTTTAATTTCTAATATTATCTCTCAGATCACACATTGCACTTCACACTGAAATACATATCTATATCTCTATGTTAGAAAATGGCTACAAAAGAGTCAAAGAGGCCACATGGAGTTCAAAGAAGGCATACAGAGTTCTGAGGTCTTACTCAAGGCAGAGGCAGAAAGCTGATATAGAGGCAGAGTCACTGAAGCAGTTTAGATTAGATGTAAGCAAACCCAGTGGATGCACACAGAGCTTATAGACACAGGCAATGAGATGCAGGACCTTTGGGGTAAGTCACAGGACCAGGTCCAGGTGTACAAACAAATGGATGGATGGATGGATGGATGGATGGATGGATGAACAAAAATTCAAGTGGGTCATGACAAACATGATTGTGCTGGCCTGAAGCCCCTAGGACTGTCAGGAGCTCACTGCCTATCTGTCTTTTTATGGGATCCAAATGAGGATGTCACATCTTACGTCTGATGTGCTTGATAAGTTTATGGGCCTGGTTTTCCTAACATGATTTTTAAATCCCTATGTGCCAATGCATTCTCAATTACTTTTATGAGTTCATAGTGATGTTTTATTACTTGCATAAATAAGTTATTTATTAGTTTGTGCTGGACAGATGGTGAGGTCTACATGTACAAACAAGATGCAGATTCATTCTGCCTCAGCCTTTTCACTTAAAATGGAACCCAAAACTGTGTAAAATGGAGCCACCAGGGTGAGGTGTAGCTGGAAAGCCATTGTTCAACATGATATGGAGTAACTTAGAGCAGGACAGACTGATTTCCACAGTAGCTGAAATATATTGCAGTGCTTGATGCACAGCTGGTCCCAAGGCCATACTAGGTATTTATCATAGTCAGCATTTTGGCTGATCTCTGTGTTTGCTGTTGGAGTGTGGCATTCTTCATTCCTGAGTGGAGCCTTTAGTTGCACTGCCCTTGTTGGATTGAGGTTGCTGTGTTTGCTGATGGCAGTAGTTACCATGAGATAGACCCACTCAGTATACATGCCTTCATAGATCTGCTTGGTCTTCCTGCTGCCTGAGCCCCAGCTGGCCACCACCACAGTCCTCTCGCCTAATGCACAGGCTCTTCTCCGCTTCTCCCAAGGAGAGGGCCTGGCCTAACATAGCTGCCAATGTAGGCCATGATTGCTGTGCTGCTCTCTGTGGTTCCCAAGAGTAGCTTGTTACATGCACAGATGCCTTGGCTCAATAAAGTTTTACAATATGATACCCAGGATCTGGTTTTCAGAGCCAGCTGTGTGTCAAATAACACAGATTAGAAATGCAGGGAGTTAGCACTCAGGGACAACCTTTCTCCAAAGATAAGCATTTGCAGCCTCTTAGACGTCTCTTGTCTGAGTCAGAACTACCTAAAAGATTATCATTATTCTGATCTCTATTGCAGCATAGGTTAATTTTGCCTGGTTTTGAATTTCATATAAGCATGAATTCAAGGCATGAAATTTTGTATCTAGCTACTCTGACATAACATCTTCATGTGAAAATCTGCCATGTTGTTTGATGTGGCAGCAATATGTTCTCTTTCAATTATATTCTATTGCAAAAATGTACTACAATTGATTTCCTATATGCCGTTGCTGAACTTCTGTATTGTTTCCAGTTGGGGCTATTGTTACTAAAATTGGCATAGACATAAACATTGATTTCAGTGGGATTTGTTTCAAAAGTAGAACTGTATGGTCTCAGGGTAACATGTATCTAGTGGCAAATACTTTCCTTTGACCAACACTTTTGAATCTTGAGTCTTTCTCACTAAAGTTTCCTTCCTTGTAGGACCTGGTTTGAACAAGAATCTTAAGCCCATCTAGGGAAAACCCCGTGCTTGCTGTGTGGTCAACCTCAATATCTTATCCTTGGCTTGCCTTCAGCAATAATACTGTCAAGTCAGTTTGGACAGAAACTCATTGACCTCTATGTTTCCTCTTAGTAAGTTTTTATCCACTGACCTCACCATGCTCCTTGGTTGTAAATCTCCACAAGATTTCATTAGAGTGTGAGTTAAGTATAATCTCCCTTTACTGCTAAACTACACGGCAGTGGTGCTTTCACCAGTCACCATTGACTCATCTTAGCATCTTAAACAAATGCTTATTAATGTCTAGAATGTTGTGTGTATGGACAACTGCAAATAATGTAAAGTTTCATTATATAATTATTTACTGCTATTGTATAAAAATAGAATCAATTTCCTTTATTGACCTTAAATTCAGTGATCTTGATAATTTCACTTCTGGCTACTTGTAGATTTGGTGTGGGTGCATATGCATATAATCATGTCATCTTTCAGTCATGACATGTTCCTGTTCGAATCTTGTATTATTTGCCTTCTTATCTTTTTGCACTAGCGAGGACCTCCTGTGTAATGTTTAATACAGATAGAAAGAATGAATATCATTCTATTGCTGCGCCCAATCTCAGAGAGCTCTTTCAGAAACATTCTATATGTCATCATTAAGGATGTTATTATCCAGAGATATTTTACAGCTACCTATACCAGATTAGCAAAGTATCCTACTATACTGAAAATCTATTTTTAAAATCATGAATATGGATGGGCACGGTGGCTTATACCATAACTTGAGCCATTGGGAGACTGAGACAGGAGTATTGCCACAAGTCTGAAGCCAGACTGGGCTACACAGTGAGCTCTAGGACAGTCTGGACTACAGTATGAGATCTTGTCACTAATAAACAAACAAAGAATGTCATGAGTAAGCACTAAATGTTATGAAATGTTTTTGTATCTCTCTTTAAAAAAATTTTCTTATTGGGGGCTGGAGAGATGGTTCAGTGGTTAAGAGCACTGGCTGCTCCTGCAGAGGACCCGGGTGTGAGTCCCAGCACCCACATGGCAGCTACAAACCGTCCTTAACTCTAGTTCCAGGGGAATCTGAAGCCCTCTTCTGACTTCTGCGGCATTGCACAACACAGGTGCACTCACATACATGTAGGCAATACACTCATACACATAAAATAAAAATAATAAATAAAATATTAAAAAAAACCTTTATTGATCTTTTATACATTTCATACAACAGTTCTTACTTAATCAAATTTAGATCCATCCTATCCATGCCTCTCCAACCCCTCACCAGACCTCATGTATTCTGGTATGTTAAGTCCTATCCAGTCATGCATTTGTACCCAGATGTCCTTCAGTGCAAATTTATCCACTGGAGTCTAGTCAGCATAGCCAAAGGTCATAAGTAAGGCATACTCTCCCTCACCCAGTACTAATCGATCTCCAATAATTCCCATTCTAGGGCCAGCCATTACTCTCGCTCCACTCTGGGCCCTTGTCTTATTGAGTTGGCATGGTTACTGTGCTTGATGCCACCATTGCCACGAGTTCACATGTAT